ATGGAGAAATTGTGTCAAGTGATGCGCAAATGTGTCCTCATCTGTTCAATTTTGATCAATTTCAAAGGTCTAGAGTGTGCGTTTGTGCGTTTGTATATTACTGTTAATTTGGCATTGATATAGAATTATTGTTCTGGCAGTAGATTCAAATTAAATTCTGTATATCATGACTCTTATGTAGTCAAAACATCTTGTATGCATCTTAAAAGCATTGAACATGTGTAAAAAGCTTTGCCTTGGATCGTAATTTTTATACACCTGAGTATCACAGAATGTGCGTATATACCCCACTTTTGGATGGTGAAAAGTGCTTAGTTTGTGCCTAGGTTGCGTATGTTGTGTTAAAAGTGAAGGTGAAGGACTGTGAGAAGCTAAGTGATCTGGTATTGGTTTGCAGATGAGAGCGCGGAACATAGATCTTTAGATCGGACATAATGTGGGGTCATGTGCAGGGCAGAGAAGATGTGGTGTTGTGTGGTGGGGTCATGTACAGGGCAGTGAGGATGGTGAGGTAGAGTCACATCATTAACCAAAAAAAAAAAACTGAAATGACTCCAAATGGTTCAAAGGCACATTATAAAGAATATTTTATACAAAGCATATTACTTTTTTTTTAACCACTGTTATTTTTCGGTTTTCAACACCCGGATATTCAGTGGTATTTATTTGACAGATGAGGCTCCACTTGACCATTATAATCATGGTATGAAAAGTTTAAGCCATATCTTACTTTATGATGTTGTGCTTGGAAACAGAAGAGGTCAGACTGCTTTGTTCATCCACAATGTTCTCTTTAATCTATGCACTGTGATATTTGCTGAGAAGAAACTCCACTGCCATCTTCATACTGCTGTGTTTCTATTCTGTGGAGGCCTGTGATATATTTTGAGACCTTTTTTAAATAAAAAGAACCAATACCTCAGTTTTGGCATCATGAACTAATTCAGGCCATTTTGCTGTGCAAAGTTTATACATGTACAAACAAAAATAATGAAGGGAAAATTATGATTATGGTTTAAGGAAAGGACATTTAAGTTGAAAATACAGATATAACACTGTTTTATGAGGATCTGAAATGTTGTATTTTTTGCAATGCAGCTGAGAAAAACAACAACAACAATGACAACTTTTGTTTCCAGTTGTAAGGCGGCTTTAATCACAGACTCTCAAGAGTTTTAATAAAGAAAACTGTGGATTGCAATTAATGTGCACTAGTTTTATGTCATCTACCATTTCAGTTCAGTTTACCCTGTTTTGTTAAACAACAAAAAGCATTATTCTATTATCTTTGTTTAGGTTACCTGTAAAGAGAGACAAAAAAAAGTTACTGTGCACAGTTTCCTTATCAATCACTGATTGTATTTTGTGGTGTCTAAACATAGAAAACAATAGAGTGTAAAGACCTGTTTCACTGAGTTCTGTCTTGTAAGGCTGCATCTGGTTGTAAATACTGCTGTGTTGTAAATTCCATGGCTTGCCAAAGTTCTTTGCTCCAGGCTCAAAGAAATGCCTTTTTGTTTTGTGTGTGTGTGTGTTTTCCTATTTTATTAAAAACAGTAGGAGGGGTTTTTGCTGATATCAAATGTCATTTGTAAAATATTGAATTTGTTGGAACTTCAGTTAGTATGAAAGGGATCATATGATGCTTTTTTAAAGATCATTATTTGGTGTATTTGGTGTAACAGAATATGTTGACATGCTTTAATGTTCAAAAAACACATTATTTTTCAAATACTGTACATTATTGTAGGTCCTCTGTTCCCCGCCTCTCTCAAACACTTAGTTTTCTACAAAGTCCCTCCTTCCGACAAGCGCAGTCTGCTCTGATTGGACAGCTGACCCAGTGCATTGTGATTGGCCGAACACCGCAAGCACTCGTCGGAAATGTAACACCCCTTACTATAATCGCAAGCTTCATCTTTCAAAATAAATGTAAAGACAGAGCCCGAAAGGGGAACAGAGTCGCGTGACAGACACAGTGATGAAGCTGGTATGTGTATGCATTGTACACATGCCACGGTTAAGACAGCTGATTCCACTGTGATGTGACCCGCTCTCTCTCTCTCTCTCTCTCTCTCTCTCTCTCTCTCT